TATAACATAAACGTTTTAAATGAGTGCAATATCTTTAGAAATATAAGGATTTGAAAAATTACTCTCTGAAAGGTGCTTTCGTATACATGGTGTTGGTTATGTACTTGTATTTTCCCTTTTATAACATATAAAACCACAAAACATGTTGCTTTTGTTACAAAATTGTACCTTTATTTAAATTCTCTACTTTTTTTATATTTCATTGCTCAGAAATTTTTTTAAACAAAATGAATCTTGATTTTTTGAAATTTCGATAAAAAGGGTATTTTTTTAGAAAACAGGCCATAAAAATAAAAATACTAACAATTCAGGAATTAAATTTGTAGAATTAAGGCTATACAGTACCCTAAAAATTTCATTTTTACCGAAAAAATTTTTTTTGCATGTTTTGGTGGCCCTTATCATTGAGATGCTTGCCACGAAATTTTAGATCTGTTAGCAAATTAATTTTTAAGATATTTGAAGTTTTATGAGCTATGGTTTTGGTTTCGGTTTCCTTTTAAAGCATTTTTTCACACTTAAGTTGAATTAATTAAAAAAATTTTGAGTTTTTTGTTTGAAATGGTTATTAATTCCAATTTTCATTACTAAAATCATTTCTGCTTGATTATGTTTTGAGTTTTTTGAGTTCTCCTAATTAATTAATAAAGATTAATTTCATGGCGAATTTTTGCTTTAAAAATAGTTTATATAACTTAAAAGCTTTATCATTAATTTTTTCCTGTAGAGGAAATGCCATGGCAAATGCTTTCTGTGTTTCTGTGAGAAACAATATTTCGAAGAGATGGAATAATACTGAAAATGATGTATCTAAAAATCAGTCCTCAGCTGATTCTGCAATTAGACTTCCGAATACAAGTATTCTGAATTCAAATGCGGCAGATATAACTGAATAGTTCCTTGATGCACCAAACTACATTATACTAAACATATTGTAGTACTATATTTTAGTATTTTAAAGTCGTACGACAAGAGCTAAAACTTCCTAAACTGCCCCAACTTAAAACTGAAAAAAATTAAATTCTATGAGCAAACCTGAATATTTTTAGCTGAAGTTAGTATCATTATTATTTTGTACATAAATGCTTCGTGTTTCAAAACTTATGTGAAATATTAGGTTAAGATAAAGCTGAATAAACTGACGTCTTAACAAATGCTATCAATATTATGCAAAAATATAATTTTCAGTCATATTTAATAAAAATAGTATTTTAATGTAGAACATTCATTGGAAAATAACATATTAAAAAAATTAGAGTCTTACGGGCATTATAAGTTTTTGTTTTATGATTTTATAAACTTTAAATGCGTTTTTCTCAGACTTTTAATTTTGAAGGTATAAGTGTTTTCTTATCCCTAAGGCTTTTTCCTGTTCAATATAGAGCCTTGAATTTTTTTGAATATACGCCCAAATGTATGTTCTATAAAAGTTAGAATGGATTTAGGGCTGTGAGAACTCTAGTTATTTTTTTAAAAAGTGCCAAAGTTGATATCTTAAAAATTTTCGTGTTTTTTCCAGGTTTTTCTAGAAAAATAATTATTAAAAATCAACAAGGGAATAGATTTTCAAATCCTTACTAAATATTGTTTGTAATAATCTAAGAATCATAAATAACTTAAAATTACTAAAAAATGTTAAAAATTGAGTATTTTATAAGAGTTTGAAAAAACTTCAAAAATTCCTAGTTCTTTAAAATCGTAAAATAATGGCTGGTCAAACTGACGTTTTGCTTACAGAATCAGCTTAATAATATAATCTAAATATAAAACATCAATTATTGTTACTGTAAATGTCTCAAAAATGTCCTGTAGCCTTAAATGCTTCATTGCTATACAAAAGTTCTTATCAAGTTTTACTAGCATATAACAAACAGACATTTCTACGGATGTAACGAAAAACTAGAAAAACACACTTTGAGTAAATTGAAAAAAAAAAAAAAAACTGAATAAAATAGTACAGCTTATTAAAATTTGATACTTAAAGTGCGTTCCAGATTTATATTTATCTTGCATGAAGTCTTCTAAAGCATCATTATTCCTTTTATTTTGCCTTTTAATAGTCTTGGCCTCTTTGTTGACTTTTTAAATTGTCATTTCAGCTTCAAAAATTCTAAATTTTCATTTTTTCGAAGTCCTTTACAAGGATTAATCTTTAAGGAAATAATTATTCTCTTAACAGTTTTGTTCTTGCATATTCACTTTCATTAAAGCATATCACTGCGATCATTATACCAATTTGAAAATTTCTTTTGTTCACAAATGTGTTTTTTTCGGAGCTTGATTCCCTACACAGTTATTGAACCTTTCATTTGGGGGTTCTGGGTACGATCATGTAAATATCTTAGAAAAAGTTCTTTTGCAGTTAAGTCTCTAAATATATGTTTTAAAAATTATGTACATGTCTGTAATTATGTTTTTAATCTTGACAAGAACTGGTCCTGGGAGGGAATGTTTTTTGCTGTATTTTTCTCCGGATACAAGACATTTGTTGTAACCGCAGTAGCTGTTGTTTACATTTTAAAACTGAAATTACTCGGGTATTAAGCCTTAAATCTATACATATACATTTTTGAAATCAGTATTAAATTTACTTTTTTAAGAGAAAAATTGAAAAATCGATTTTCCGAAGGTTAAGAACACCTTTGGTTCTCTGAAGTGTTTTTTTTCACCTGAGTTCACAACCCCATTTCATTTTGTCAGGAATATCCTTCTAGATAGGCCCCATTGCAAACGCAATCTTCTGTGTTATGGACTCAACGACAATCTTCTTAATGTAGGCCACTAGTAATTAATCCATAAACTTAGGGGTGCAACAGCCCATGAAAGCCAAGGCATACTGTGCCCAAATTAGCATACGTGACCTTGAGCCATGAGGTGCATGAGCAGATGTTCCGGTCATGTGGTCAGTTTCACTAGAGACCCCCAGTGTTCATATGTACAGATTATGTTTGATATGTGAATATCAAAACTGTTCTGTATATGATGCAAAATATAGGCACATCACTGTTTATTGCTACATGCTTCAGTTCACGTGCGCTGACGTCGTTTTAGCCACACCCCCTCCGGCACTTTTCAAGCTTGCATATTTCCTTTTCCAACCATCTTTGTTTGTGCAACATAGACATTATTAGGTGGATGTTAGATAGGTCCATCTAGCTTACATTGGGATTAACCTAATCAGTCGAATTACCATTTTATTATTGCACCTAAGGGAAAAATTGTTCACGAATTTCGGTTCACAACTTAATTCGTACGGCAATGCTCCCATTCCTTTTTATCACCACGGATCAGTCAACGTTTGACAATTTTAAACCCACCCCACTGAGGGTGGGATGTTTATTGCTTATACTTTTAAGATTGTTTTGATTTAATAATTTTGATTTAATTGTGTTTAAATATGTCTTCAGAATGAACTACAGTTACACCAATAAATTAATATAAAGAGATTTTCATGGAAAGTTGCACAAACCCGAGAGAGAAGCTCATCCCATTAAATAAAATGGAAATAATCTAATGTAAATTGGGGAGCCTGGTACCGATCCATGACCTGGGGGAGACAATTGTTGTACACAGCATACGTTCTAGAAAATTATTTTTATCTATTTCGTATTAGTTTCAGTAAATGATTTTAAAGATAGCTTACACAAAAAATTTTTCTTGAAGTGAATAAATGAATTAGTGATTCCGATAACAAATCAAATATTTTTTTAATATACATACATTTTAGTAATAAATTATTATGTTTTCATAATTATGAAACACTTTCTACACATAATGATTTATGCGTAAAAAGCGTTTTCATAATTATGAAACACTTTCTACACATAATGATTTATGCGTAAAAAGCGTTTTCATAATTACGAAACACTTTCTACATATAATGATTTATGCGTAAAAAGCGTTTTCATAATTATGAAACACTTTCTACACGTAATGATTTATGCGTAAAAAGCTCTACTACTATTTTATTTCAAGAGAATACGAAAATTTACGAAAATTGATGGTCATGGGTAGCCTAGTGGTTAGAGCATCGGTCTCCAGACCGGAAGGCCGGGATTCGATGCCCGATGCCACCAAATACCCTCCGAGTACACACGGAGTACGTGCTCGTTAAATCAGTTGGTCCGAAAGTCTTGTTTGCTGAATCACGAGTGCAGGGGGACTGAAGAATATTTCCCTCCCATTCAGTTCCTGGCCTAAATTGTGGAGGTGGAGATAGGTGGTGTCGCCATCTATCGTCCCTTCGTGGAATTTCGCCCAGCTAATTCGTACTGTCACCTGTATGGTGCTCAAGGCCAACGACAGGCGTACTTCTAGCCCCTTGCCACGATGAATTTCGCGGGCTTCGATCTGACTACGTCAGACAGGTGGCATGAACAACGAAACTTGATTTTTTAAAACATTGACGATTTTATATAATTATACAAACTACATTATTTCACAATAACTGCAAGGCAAATCATTAGTTTAATGTAATAAATTTAATAGTACCATAGTTTTCTTTTGCATTTTGAGTTTAAATTTTTAAAACTAGATTAATTTCGAATTATCACGTATAAGTGAATATTTTTTCCGAATAAAAACCCTGATTTTTGAAATAGTGCCAATGTAAAATTACAGTATACGAACGATTACACTGAAAATAAACATAATTTTATAACCTTAATTGAAACATACATGCAGAAAAATGCTCAATTGTTTTACTTTATAAAGGATAACATAATACTTTAAAAGTAATTCTTCGTTCTTAATTTTTCTAAAAAGATTATTAATTTTAGAGAAAACTGTTATAACTTAAGTTAAAATTATCAGTGAAATGGATGTGTATGGACGATAATTGATTATAATATTTAAAGATTAAAATGCTTCAAATAGACTGATTTGGCTTGGTGTGGAAGATAAAAGAACGAAGTCGACACCATCTGACTAATGTCACAAATTACTAAGTACCGTGCTAATAGTGTTTGTGATTTTTATTTGTTTTATGTGAACAAACAATTCCACATGGTCTAGTGCTTAGGATATCTGACTCTCAACCAGGAGACCCGGGTTCGATTCCCGACGTGTGAAGTTTCTTTTTGTGAGCTGAGTGGCGTGGTAGGGGCTTGTCGCTGTCTTTCTGCACCCAAGGTTGCAGGTTCTACCCCGGTCCTAGTCGGTAGATTTCCAAGATGCAGACAATTGACAGCAGTCATGTTGTACGATTATACGCCATGTAAAAGATCCCTAGAGTGTCTGTTTGGCTTGGGTGCTCTCTGCAAAATTAAATCCTAGTACAGCTTCACCTCGCCAGAGCTCGGGTGTCTCCCTTTGGGGAGGAAACTGGACGTCAAAATTATTTGCGTCGATTGGTATCCGCCTATAGGGTGTCGGACTAAAAAGAGATAACAGCTTCCAGTAATGTACTAGGTCTACAATGATAATACACCACAATCCGCAGTCCATTAGAAATAAAAAATGTTAACAAACAATTAGAAATAAAAAACAATCAGATATTTTAATTTAATATTTTTTAAAAGAGGTGTTTTATATAACAATAATATATGTGGCTTAAATATATGAAAATCAAAACATCAATATTATTTAAAATTATGTTTTGATTCATTCATATTTATTAACAATAACATATACTTACGTACTTCTTAATGTGATTGAAATATCTTTCGGGTAAGAAGAAATTGTTGAATTATAATACAACAGAAATGAAACAAAAAAATTGTAATATTTTCTATTTGGTCAATTAAAACAAATTTTAACTACAGAACAGTTAATTTTGAGAGTGATTCAGAATGTCAGTAATAAATTCATTGAATTTAAATTAATAGTAAATTTTTTAAATTAGGAAAAAGAACCCTGGAATTTATTTTGGAAATGTTCTGTTTCAATGTTTTCTTAATTTTCTCTTTAGAGTGCTCCCGTTGAAATTCTTTTCAGTTTTTCTCGAATCCCAAGATGTGTTAAAATAATAGGAGGAGTAAAAAAAAAGTTGTAGAAACACTTATCTAGTTCCGCGGAATTTCAGATCAAATTAAAAGTCCCTTAAACATCAGCGTTAACTTTTTACCTGTCAGTTACAGCAGTCAAACCTTTTAGAAGAAGCATGGCAAACATTTGACTTCTTTCTGAAAATAAAATAACGAGAAAAAGATAAGGACTTTCTACGAAAAAAAACTTAAAAGAATTTCATTTTTTATGTTACTTCGATTTCTTTTACTGAAGTTACAGAAAGGGGAAAAAAGGGAATATTTGCCGTGAGTTATTCGTCTACACCTAAGAATCGTTTCTGTAGGTAAAATAAATGTGGAATAAAATAATTAGAGCAAAATAATTAAATTAAAAGGTTTGATTTTTATTAACGTAATAAGTTAAACATACCATTCGAAAATTTATTCTAGTATAAGTAAACCTTCCTCAAGAATACAAAAATGGCTTTGCAGTTATCTTTAAGAGCTGAAAAAATAAATAAATAGAATTTTACGTTTAACTAGTGAGAATTTTTTTTAACTTTTAGATTGTAGTATAAAAAGCACTCATGTCCAGAATTAAAGTCACAAACATAAAATCTGCGAAAACTGTTGAACTATTTACTGTGTTGCCATGGAATTTAGTACAAAGACCAATTAAAATGTGAGAAAGTATATAACAACATAACAAAATGGAAAATATTTAAATTTCGAATGAAGATACAGGGTCTTATCAAAAAGAGCGAAATCATGATTCAGAGGTGAAGCATTTAACCATGCACCAGTATACAAGACTCACAGTGGACTGTCATACTGTTTATGAGGGTGTCAATGAATGTTGGTGGCAACAAAGCCCATTCATCCAAAAGAGTGACTTTTAATTTTTGGGGGGTTCTTGGAAGAGGCAGAATGAAAAAAAGCTCTTTTTATACCATCCCAAACATGTTCAATTGGATTAAGATCTGCAGATCTCAAGGGCCAATCCGTATGGCAAATATCCTTTCTTTTTCATGAAATTCATCAACAATGTGAGCTCTGTGGGGTCGCGTATTGTCGTCCATGAAAATGTAGTCCAGGTCTATAGCACCCAGAACATTCATAGCCTTCAAGGACCTCATCCCTATAGCTCTGTCAGTTGACAGTACCCGCATCTAAGACGTACAGTGTTGTACGACTGTTCAACATTATGCTGCTCCTCACAAGAATTGCGTTGTCACCAAATCTGACGATTTTTGTAATGGAAGAGGAATGAAATCTAACTCTACTTTCTCTCCAGGTAAAAACTCGACAAGAATAACTTTGTTTGGTGAATCTCAACTCATCACTGAAAAGAACATGCCTCCATTCTAGCGGTGTCCACGACTTATATCTTAGGCTCCACTGAAACCGGTATATCCTATTGGTGGCAGTCAAAGTTACACACAAGACTGGATGCCGGGCGTTAAGACCAGTCTCTATAAGACATTTGTAGACTGTTTGTCTGGAAATTCTTCTTTCAGACAGAGCAGAAAGGTCAGGAGCAAGCTGAGGAGCCATTGACTATCGATATCATCGTACGCTTAATGCAAAGTAATGATCCTGTGTAGATGTCATTGAGCACTGGTAGCTTTGGTCGACCTTCCTGGTGACAGTACCACTTGTTTCAACAAAGAGATGACTTTCGGTGCCCCTTGTAACTATCGAGATACCTCAGCTGTATACTGACCAACTCCGAACCTGGCAACATTTCGCTAAGTTAGGGAATCATCTAAACGATCATGAGAAGTCATTGTCACTACAAACAGCCTGCTTTAATGCAATATTCACACAACTGCTGGCAAAATTCGCATATACATAAATGGTCTTAATCCAGAATTTCTGAAAAAGATAAGCTGAACAACTTCTTTTCGTAAGCCCCGAAGATTGATATTGTACTACGTACTCTTTAAAATATATGAAATATAAATTCTACCAATTTTAATGATGTCAATTTAGAAGCATGTCAAAAAATGTGTCTGTGATCTTCATTTTTGACATGAGTGTATGATCTTTAAGAAATAAGCAGGAAATAATTATTAATGTATATTTTATATGTCTAAATATTAAGTTTTATTTTTGAAACAATCAGCTATGTAAACGCTTTTAAATTAATGTGTTAAATGGTAATATACATGGTAAATGTGTTAAATTTTAGAAAAAAAGAACCAGAAATAAAATGTATAGTTAAAAAAACTTCAATGTGTAAAAATTTCTTTGTGTATTGCATATTGTTAAACATATTAGGAGACACTGACGATTCTTAAAATACTAATAATAAATAATAGTTTTTAAACATATGTAGCACACACACACACATATATATATATATATATATATATATATATATATATATGCTACAAGAAAATTATATATTAAAACAGATACATATTTTTTCTTACGAATTTGGAAAAAAAGGAGAAAACAAAATATTGAATACATTGTATTATTTATGACTAAATTGTATTCCGTTAATTTTTACAGAATTACGAAAAATTTTCAGTGACTGTGTAACAAAATTTATAAGACGAACCACAGTAAAAAATAATATTAAAAATATTAAGAAAATGTGTTAAAACATGGTTAAAAAAATTTACAAGCTTATTAAGGCGAAAAAATACCCTCATTTTCATAAAGGGTTATTAAATATTTTTTTCTGTGCGTAAAACCAACTAATATTTGTATAATACTCTTTTTCGAAACTTATTGAAATCTTCAAAATGTCGACTATCCTGTATCCTTTCAGCCTCATCTTTGCTAGTTTTTAAATTAAAATCAATATGTAAGCACTGAATTGTCTACATTTTTATAAATTACTCAATTTAAAAAAATAATATTAAAAAAAATACTACATAATCTGCGATTTCTTAAAATAAGTTTCAATTAAGTATTCAATAATTTATATAAAAAAATATAGATTATGCATGGTATTTTTTACTGAAAATATCACATTACTTTCAAATGCCATCATTATGTTTATACATTACTAATTATTTTCGTTTTTAAACAAACAAAGGCAACATTGATTTGATCCTTTCGGAGAAGAGTTATTAGTTTGCACCAGATTTGGCTATAAAGACATTTTTTCGAAAGGAAGAATGGTAGAAACAAAATGTTTAATTTGTTAATCCATTTAATTGAGGCATTATCTTTCATAAAATCATCCTCATCATTTATTCATTCATAATTTTATTAAATTTATCAAGGAGTTTATTGAAGCATGTATGAAATATATACATTGTGTCTTAACATTTTGGTTGATGAATTGCGTATTAATGTTATTCTTCAAAGGAACTCTAGGGCCATTTAGAGACGTACCTCGAAATTTAGAACCTTGATGAGTGAGAATGACTAAGAGTTAAATGTGGAAGTATAAAACAGAACGAGGGTTATTAAGCAATCAACCTCATAAGTTTTAGCCTTGGTGAGGACGACACCTGTGAGCTGGCACCCCTTCTCCAAAATACCACGCCACACCAAGCAGTAGGACTTTAATCTTGACTTGAACTTTGGTGAAGTGACTGAGATGGGACTGTCGCTCCAAAATTACCTCACTATACCAACGTAAGGAATTTGGACGTCAACAGATTTTATGTACACCAGCTCCTTTACACGTTTCTTCTGAAAAGGAACAAGGTTCGAACTCTCGATACGACAGAAACAATATTGGCCAATAGTTCTTGGTTATTGCTATCGTCTATCACGGCCACCTAACATTTGAAAGCCTGCGTAGTTAATATATAATTTGAGACTGTTTGATTTTGCAATATTTTTTAAAACCTTATTTTAGTCAGTTTCATTATCATATTAGATTATTGTATTGCATTTGCTATAAAATGTCATATTATATGAATTCCTAAGTAGCTTTAATTGAAACACACTGTGTTACCATCAATTAAGGATACTATTCCTAATTAAATTGTGTCTTAAAAATTAATCTTTTTTCATTTATTATTCGAGTTTACAATAGTCCTAACACTCTGACAGGATAATCCGTCTCTCAGACGGGGGACTTGCTTTGATGCCTGTAGATAACGCGGTGGAGTGATTTTGGAGTGGACTGCATTGACAACTTCAGTTGGACTCTACCTAGT